AGTCATTGGCCTGCATTTTGTTTCATCTACGCACATTTATACGTAAAGTTTTGTGATCTAGCCACTCGTTTTTGTGAGTGGCATCAGGACATGCATCCTCCAGCTGACTCCTACAGTGTTTAGAGTTTTTTGTTCTCTTTTTGGAGAAGGCTTCCTGTACTGAGGCTAACACATGAACTGTCTTTCTGAATCATAGAGCTAATCGCAGTAGGGCTCTGATATAAAACCTTCCACTCGTCTGCAGGGTAAGATGCATCACCGGCCCTCATAGTCTTGCACCTGCCCTTAGCAGCCTTGTGTCCTCACCAGCCACCTTGAACCCCAGCATTTCTATCTTGTGTCTGTGAGAACTAGCAATTGAAACAAGTGGTTAAAAAATTGAGGTTCTAGAGCCAGACAAGATGGGTTCCAACCCTGATTCTGGCATACAGCTGTGTATGTAAACTTTGGACAGATGACTGAACCTTTCCATATTTCACTTTCCTTACCTGTAGAACGGGGGAAATGATAGTGTTTGCTCAGAGAGTTTGTTGCAAAGCTTAAACTAGTTAGGAGATAGAAGGTGCTTGGAGCAGTGTCTGTCATGCAGTGATATTTCAAAATGTTAGCTCTGTTGTTTCGTAAAATTCTACTTATCCTGTAAGACCTGTCCGATATTACCTTTTTGGGAAAACTTCCTGAAATCCGTGGAATTCATTGTTCTTTTTCTTTTATATATTATTGTTTATAATTGCCTTAGAGCTTTTATCATACAGTGTTATAGTTAGTTCATGATGGGCAAATGCATAGTATGTGGGCCTCCCCTTCTATTCCTGTGCTCATGGTCGACCTTGGTACAGTCACACATTCCTTCTGGAGGAGGCCCTAACACTTGGCCTAACCTTCTCAGCCCCATCCTTTGGCGTTAGCATGCAGGGATACCGACTTGCCCCGGTGAGAGTTAGTTGTGTACCCCCTGGCTCTCCCCTTAGCTTGTGAGCCCCTTCAGGAGATAGACATTTTTGCCCTTGTCCCCTGTGTATAGCACAGTGCCAAGCGCTCAGCAGGCACTCAGTACAGCTTTGTTGAATGAATGTCAATTTGAATAGTAAAAACGAGGCTCTGAAATGGTGGTTCTTAATCTCATCCCCTACCCTCCCCCCAAGTATACTTGCCTTGTACAACTAGCCCATCACTGACAGAGTTTGAAACAGCCCCAGATGATTTTGATAGAAACTCAGTCCCTTCTCTTCGAAGATCATTGGCTAAAATATAAAAAAGCAGTTATTGGAGTAGAAGAAAAGGCCATATAGAGTAAGAAGAAATGTATTCTCTTTGTCATTTGTTACCAGAAGACTAGAGAGAAGTCGTCCTTCTTGTTCTTTTGCAAAGCTAACCTGAAAGTAAATGATTACTTCAGTAGGTACACTCTGACCGAGTATGGCTTTTGATAGTGGCCCAGCTGTGTTTTCTTTCCTTTTCTGTTAAATGAAAATAATGCCAACTTCAAAAGGACTGGTAAATTGGGATAAAACTCTTTAAGAAAGGAAACAATGGCCTCCTTACAGCCCATTTAATGATAGGTATATTTAGTAATATTAATTCATATTTTATTGAATAAAGTTGAAGTTCCACATTTGGCCTTCTGATTTCTTCAGGGAGCTAAATTATTCATTAAACATTTATTGAGGATCTGCTGTGTGCCAGGTACAGTGCTGGGCTCTAAAGACAGGAAGAGTAGTAAGATGGAATTCCTCAGTCACCTTTCTGTAGTGGGGAACACAGACATGCGGACTACTACTATAAAGCAGAAACTGACAAGTAAAATGACAGTATTTTAATCTCCCACTAAGATTGTGGTTTTGTCTGTCATTTTACTTGTCAGTTTCTGCTTTATATATTTTGATACTGTTGTTACGTGAAGATTTGGGATTATGCTATATCCATGGTGGATCAACTCTTAACATTATGAAATGTCCCTTTTTTAATCTCTGGTGAAGCTTCTTATTTTGAAGTCTGTTTTGTTTGATTAGATAGTTATGGCAGCTTTTTTGGTTAGAGTATGCATAGTCTATCTTTTTCCATCCTTTTTCTTTCAGCTTTTCTCTGTCGTTTGTGTGTAATGTGTGTCTCTTGTAAGTACGGTAGTTAAGTGGTGCTCCCCATCCATCCCTGCCGATCTTTTACTTGCATATTTAATATGTTTATATTTAAATAATTAATGATTCTTTTGGGATTAGATCTAAATCTTATTGTTTTCTATTTGTCCCATCTCTTTGCTTTTTTTTCTCTCTCTTACATTCTTTGGGTTAATCATATTTTAAAAAATAATTCCATATTTTTTAACTTCTCTATTACCTTTTTATTATTTTTTTAAAAGATTTATTTATTTTAGAGAGAATTAGTGTACACATGCACGTGGTGGGGAGGGACAGAGGGAGAAGAAGAGGGAGGGAAGCAGACCGCCCCCACTGAGCGCAGAGCCTGAAGCAGGGCTTGATCTCACTACCCTGAGATCATGACCCGAGCCAAAATTAAGAGTCCAGACTCTTAACCAACTGAGACACCCAGGTGCCTCTCTTTCAGTAGTTTTTTATTATGACAAGACTTTATCAATAATAATTCAATGCTTTATCACAGCCTGCTGGGTAATACGGGGACCTTAGAACACTAATTTTATTTGCCCCTTTCTGCTTTTTTTTTTTGGTCATGCATTTTAATTCTATTTTTTAAATAACCACAAGAGATTCCTGTAATTGTTTTGTAAAGTCAGTATCATTTAGACTTACTTTTATTTACCTTTCTGGAGCTCTTCATTCTTTCCTGCCATTCCTTGCTTCTTTCTGGGATCTTTTTCCTTTTGCCTCACAGATTCCTACTGGAAGGAATTTTTCTCAGATTTCGTATGTTGGAAAACACATTTATTTTACAATCACTTTTGCATGATTTTTCCACTAAGTATAGAATTCTGAGTTGCCAGTTAGACTTACTTTTATTTACCTTTCTGGAGCTCTTCATTCTTTCCTGCCATTCCTTGCTGCTTTCTGGGATCTTTTTCCTTTTGCCTCACAGATTCCTACTGGAAGGAATTTTTCTCAGATTTCGTATGTTGGAAAACACATTTATTTTACAATCACTTTTGCATGATTTTTCCACTAAGTATAGAATTCTGAGTTGCCAGTTATTTGTTTACATTTGGCACACTAAGGATGGTCTTATTTCCATTGTTTCTGTTGGAATGTCAGCTATCAGCCTTATTGTACTTATTTGAGAGTAATGTGTCTTTCTAAAGATTTTTGTCATAGGTTTTCAGCGATTTTTGTGTGAGAGGGCACATCAAACCTTGTGGATTTCTTTGTATTTATCCTTCTTGGGATTTGTAGAGCTTCATGGATCTGTATCTAGTTGTTTGTTGTCAGTTTTGGAAAATCCTTGGCTAGTATCTACAAATATTGCCTCTGCAACAGTTTTTTCTCTTCGTTTCCCATTACCTTGATCCAGTCTAGTATTAAGATGATTTAAAAAAAAAAAAAAGATTTCAGGCTGTGTTTCAGTATAAAAACTGGTCCATTTCATTTTTGCCCTTACACTAGAGCATACCGCTTTGCCGTCTCAACTGAGAGCCTCCTTCTCCACAGGCCCTCCACTACAGTTTGCTTGTTTGATCTCCTCCACCCTATGAGGCCACTGAAATCTTTGCTTGCTTCTTGAGCCTCCTGCAGCTTGGCTACCAGTCTCCTTGCTAGTTATAGCACAGGCATTGGGAAGTGCCTTGAGAAGAAGAGCAGGAAAGAATGTTCAGCTCACATTTCATTGCTTTTCTGTTCTCAGCATCTTGGCCTCTCTAGTCCTGAGGACCTTGGTTGCTCTTTGATATCTTTAAAATTAAAGTGGGGCTTTTTTGTTTGTTTATATTTTATTAGTTTTTATAGTGATTTTTGGGACGAGGTTGATGTGATACATGTTCTACTGCATCTTACCTGGAGTTTGTGCAGTTATCCTCTTGAAGGTCTCTCATCTTCTCTGTTTTTGTCTGGTGAGGAGTAACTGGAAGGTTTAAATGAGACAACTGGACAAAAGAATTTGGTACAGTATGTGTTCATGTCCTCCATTCCTTTCATATCAATAAAAAACAAATAAATTTCTTACCTTACTTGCCCTATATCCCATAGGCACTGGCTTGTTTACTGAATAAATACCCTAAAATGTTGTAATGTTTACACAGTATATGTATAACTATTTTTCCTTTTATCGTAAGAGATACTTGAGGAGCAAACCAAAAACAGATGTTAAGATTACTATTTTTTTTTTCCTGTTGCTTTCAGTTTTTGTTGATTGAGGTATGTTTTGAAACACATTTTTAGAGCCTATAAATGAATCTAAGAATGAAACATTACAGTATCTGTTGAGGACTTGGACTTATGTGCACTGAAGTTTCTACTGCTTCTATCTCAGAACAAGTAACATACTACTTTTTAAACTCTGTCTCAGTTTGTTCTTCTGTAAAAGGGAGTGATTGTATTACCTCACGGAAAAGACTAAGTAAACTAAATACTGAGTGTTAGCTTGGGCTGCCACAACAAAATATCTCAGACTGGGTGGCTTAAACAACAGAAATTTATTCTCACAGTTCTGGAGGCTGTAAGTCCCAAGATCAGGGTTCCCACCCGTTTGGTTTCTGGTGAGGGCTCTGTCCCAGGCTTGCTCGTAGGCTGCCTTCTCTCTCTGTCCTCACCTAGCCCTTCTGCAGTATGTGTGCATCGTGGGGGGCCCTTCCTCTTATAACACCGCTGATCTTACCAAGTTATGGCCCCACTCTCATAATCTCATCTCCAAATACAGTCACATGGGAGGTTATGGCTTCAATGTGAATTTTAGGGGGAGTCATAATTCAGCACATAGAGTATCATAATACAGAAAATTACTTAAAATAGTACCTGGCACATTGCAGTTGTTTAATGAATGGTAGTTTTGTGGTAGCAATTATTTTAAACTTTTTTTTTCCCTTTTTTCTTTTCTAGGTGCTGACTTTGGATTACTTTTAAAACACTAGGAATGGTAATTTCTCCTTTTCGGGATCTCAAAACCAAGAAGCTAAAGAGAATCCTATGTAAATAAAGTGAAATCTCTTCTGTTGTCCTTTTGCATTTGGAGACTTCTTTATTTCACCACACACAAGGAGTCTATAACTAGTGCATTCATTATGAATGTGACAAGTTTATTTTCCTTCACAAGTCCAGCTGTGAAGAGACTCCTTGGGTGGAAACAGGGTGATGAAGAAGAAAAATGGGCAGAGAAAGCTGTTGATGCTTTGGTGAAAAAACTGAAGAAAAAGAAAGGTGCCATGGAGGAACTGGAAAAGGCCTTGAGCTGCCCGGGGCAGCCAAGTAACTGTGTCACCATTCCCCGCTCTCTGGATGGCAGGCTGCAAGTTTCCCACCGGAAGGGACTGCCTCATGTCATTTACTGCCGTGTGTGGCGCTGGCCTGATCTTCAGAGCCACCATGAACTAAAACCACTGGAATGCTGTGAGTTTCCTTTTGGTTCCAAGCAGAAGGAGGTGTGCATCAATCCCTACCACTATAAGCGTGTAGAAAGCCCTGGTAAGTGAGCTTTTTTTTTTTTATGTTCTGTTAGCCAACATATAGTACATCATTAGTTTTTGGTGTAGTGTTCAATGATTCATTAGTTGTGTATAACACCCAGTGCTCATCATCAGTGCCCTTCTTAATACCCATCATCCTGTTACCCCATCCTCCCACCCCCTCCCTTCTGTAACCCTCAGTTTGGTTCCCGGAGTCCAGAGTCTCTCATGGTTTGTCTCCCTCTCTGATTTCTTCCCATTCAATTTTCCCTCCCTTCCCCTGTGGTCCTCTGCACTATTCCTTGTGTTCTACATATGAGTGAGTCCTTTTATATTGATGTGCTTAGCAGATTTGTATTGTTTAAAATATGAAAATCATCCCTTTCCATATTTTTAGTTGTGATTTTTTTAAGTATTAGGGGAAAATATGTCAGCCCTTGAAGGTTTTCCACATTCTAACACCTTAGTCGTCTCTAGTTAATTTTATTTCTTAGGAGCAGGGCAAAATTGTCATAGCAATACTAACACCTCTAACTATAAATAAATAGTTTTCTTTCTAAATTTATCTTTTATGTTTCTCATTGGTTCCATGCATTTCTCTAACTTAGCTGTGATTTTAATTACAAAAGAAGAAAATTCAAAAAAGAAAGAAACATGGGGTTACCATCTACATGCTTGAGGGAAATACATCTTTAGTGCAATTGCCAATGACTTGTACTTTTTTTTAAGGGGAGCATCTTTTATTTTTAAGGGGAGCATCTTTTATCACCTCTGGTGGAATTTTGCTCCCTGTGGAGGGTATGAAGGAATTATGTTCTGCTGTGGAATCATTAGATACTATTACCTTATAGGATATTCGGAGTTTTTACATATATGACCTTTTTTGGGGGGCGGGGTTACAGTAAAGGATATACATTAAAATTTGTATGGTTTTGCCCTCATATGAGAATCCACATTCTAGACCGTTACATCAATTGGAAAGTAATTAGGCAATCTTAAGCACTTAAATATCTCATTGTCAGATTGGAACCCATTTTGTTGATGGATTAGTTATTAATAGCTTGTGGTTACCAGGGGTTCCCAAATGAGGCTGTGCATTAGAATCACATGGTCCCCTCCCAGAAATTCTGATTCTAGCTCAGCCTGATAGTCTGTGTTTTTAACAAATACTTCAGATGGTGTCGAGTAGCTGTTGAACTGGTGTTAGGAACTACTGTGCTAAATCATGTACTAATGTGGTTCTCAAATAAAAGGCATTCTGTTTTTATTTTTTTTATGGACTATTTAAGACCTACAAAAAGTTTAAAGACTAGGGAATAATGTAATAAACATCTTTGTATACACTCAATTTAAGACATAAAAGATTACAAATAAAACTGAAACTCTAGTTTATGCCTCTCTGGTCCTGTTCTTTCCCTTCAGTAACTATTCTGAATTTTTTGGTTAAAATTTGATGTCATTCCCATGCGTGTTTTTATACTGTTATTATGTACGTATACATACATACTTGCTTGTGTGAATCTATGACAACATGTAATATCATATGTTTAGAAGTATTAATGATACTGGAACATCCTTCTACAACTTATATTCATTCAACATTATGTTTTTGTGATTTCTGTATTATATTCTTTAAGATTACCTTGTCAAATTCTTTGAAAAATAACCCTGGAAATTTCTTTTGGAATTTCATTGGTTTCTTCTGGGAAGGATTGACTTACATTTTTTCTAAACTTATTTAGGTGTTTTTCTTTAAGTTTCCTCCATGAAGTTCTTTGATGTCTAGATAACTGGTTGGTTTTTATTGAAAAAGTTATATTTTGTTAGAGTTGATCTTGGCTAGGACGGCACTTGCTTTTTTTTCCAACAACTTTGCTGAATTCTCTTTATTCTAATGGAGACATTTTTTTCTGCCTGTTATATGTGCTGTGATGTAAATTAAAAAGCAAAAACTCAGGGGTGCCTGGGTGGCTCAGTTGTTAAGCGTCTGCCTTCCCAGGGTCCTGGGATCGAGCCCCACATTGGGCTCCCTGCTCCGCAGGAAGCCTGCTTCTCCCTCTCCCACTCCCCCTGCTTGTATTCCCTCTCTTGCTGTGTCTGTCTCTGTCAAATAAATAAATAAAATCTTTAAAAAAAAAAAAAAAAGCAAAAACTCAAGGCGGAGATACATGGTCTTTTAGCCAGCAGTCGAGATGGAGTTAAGAGTTTGGGAGAAGAAAAAAGTAGTGTATAAGTAATAGGTACAAACAAGATTATTTAGATGTGTGGTTTATCACCATAGTAATTGTAAGAGATACACAGGAAAGATTCTAATCCTACTTCATTAGTGATGAAACTGAGGTCCCTATAAATTAAGTGACCTGTATGTCAGACAACTAAGATTCACTGTATTTCCTCCATCCACCCTCCTGCCATTTCCATCCTTGGAATACTGCATCCTGTGCCTCCTGACCCGTCACCCCTTTCAGGCCAATATCTGCACAATAGAGAGAGTTCTTTTAAGATGCATGTTATGATCACGTTATCTTCCTGCTTCCCATTGCATGTACACAGAGCTCTGCACATTCTAGTCCTGCCTACTCTTCCAGCTTCTTTTCCCACTTTTCCATGTTTTGTGTGTTTGAGTCATAAGGGAACATTCAGTGTTCTTCTCCTCCATCTGTAACTCATTTCTCCTCCCTCTTGGCCTCGCTCACTCTTATTTATCTTTCAGCTCTAAGCTTGGTGGAGGTTAGCTTTGCTGAGGAGCCTCCCTTGATACCTCCTTTCCCACCCCCCAGGTAGGCTAGTCTCTGTTTCCCATAGCATTCTGAATTTCTTCATAATATTCTTCACATTTACAATTATCTTTCTGCTGGTCTTCCTTGCAAGATAGTAAGTAAAGCTCCATGAGGGCAGGGAACATATATATTATTAGTGTTTTTACTTTAGCAACTAGCACAGTTCGATCAATTTTTGCTGTTAAATGAAAATACTGGTTTTAATTTCTCTGTATGGTCATTTGCCCATTTTTTTGGAGGCCAGTTTTCAGCTTGCCTGTACCCTTTGAACATCATCTTCCCTTGTGCATTTGTTGCTGACAATGAAATAACACCTAACATTACTACTAACATCTCTGACACAAAATGGAAAGTTTGTGTTTTTTTTAAGTTAAAAGTTAATACTGAGATGATTTTGTTACTCTGAATAACTTATATATAAAGGGTTTGATCGGGGGCGGGGTGGAAAACCAGCTCAAATGAGACATTTGAGACTCCACAAATGTCATTTCATCCCCCCTGCCGCCCCCTCCCCCCACGTAGCCAAGAATTTTGTGAGACAAACATAGAACAGTTTTAGAAAGCTTGAGGCTGAGGCTAAGATCTGTTGAATTTGAACATACCAGGATTTTACTTGTGTTTTTCGTACCGTAAAGTGGCTGAATGGGAATAAGAATCAATGGACTTTTTCCAGAGACCACTATGAAGCAGCCCCTACCCTTCTTGAGGGAAGCCCCGCCAGAAGTACAGGGGAGCCTAAGCCCCTTACTCCCCCAGAGTTCAGCAGGCATCTTGGAGCGCACATCTGGTTATCGTTTCTGTGAACTAGGGGAGGAGGGGCCTGGAATTCCGAGCTGCACATACACAGCTCAATACTGAATTACTCTGAACTCTGTAACTACTTACCTCAGATGAATTACTTCAGAGAGCAATTTAGCAGTTTAAGCATAAGGTAGTTAGGTCTCCCAAACCTGGTGTTTTCTGCAGAGACCCCTGTTAAGGCCTCTAGAGAAAAATTCTACAAAAATTGGGTGTCTCTAGGTTTGGAGTAGTGGTTTTCAAAGTGTGTGCTTCCCAGACCAGTAGCATCGGCATCACCTGGGATCTTTTGAGAAATACAAAATTCTAGACCCTTCCACAGACCTATTAAATTGAACTCTGGGGATGGAGCTAGCAATCAGTGTTCTGCCAAGCTCTTTGGGTGATTCTGACGCAGGCTACAGCTTGAGAACCACTGGTTTAAGGTATCCAGGCAAGTCATCAAGTCCAGTTGACTAGGTGAAGTTGTCTCTTATTGGAAAGAGATGCTAATGGTTTGTCTTTGAAGTCACTCATCATTTTGGACTTTGCAGGTTTTGTTACAGATATAAAATTGACCTGCTCTTCCCAGAATTTTCCTTCTCTCTGATACTCATTAAGATCAGCGCTCTGATAAAATATCATAAGGTGTCTTTAAGGTGATGGAGGAGTCAGGGAGAGAGGAATGCTTTGTGATTTGGCCCAATGCAGGTTTTATAATTGTTCTTATGGCTATCTGATACTGTTTGTTTGACCAAAAATACTTTTATGGGTTTAAGGAATTGTGGTTCTTCTATAACCTATGTAATTTATTTTGTTATAAATAAAAGGGTCTAAAAATTGTAGTGGGGGGGGGACCAGAAGTTACAGAAGCACTTTCCAGCAACTTGTATTCATCACAGTTAACAATGTAAAGGAGGTGAAAGGGGGGACAGCCTTCCTTTTGGTGAAAATACTGCCTTGGCCATTAATGAAAAATGTATCTTTGGGAAAGTAAAAAATGTTCAGGATTTCTTCTTCTACAAATGCGTGGATAGTGAGAGGAAGGAAAGTTCTTGCAGCTTCTGACTGTGACCCTGTTGATGATGTAACAGGTGACTGTTTACTTGGACTTTTAGTAGCCTTTAGAATCAAGGCTGCTTATTAGTGGTTGGGTTAAATATAGGTTTTCTTTTTCTTTACCAAAGTAAATGCTGACAGTGGTAAAGTCAGTCCTAACTGTGGTGTTAAGAAGACCATTCAGTGGCTAGCTGTTGATACTAACATGCCTTTGTGGAGACTTCCTGTCATTTGGCCTTATTTATTTTTTATATTTTTCACATGGCTCTTGAAACCTATCTTCTGTACTTTAAACTTAATCAACTTGAAAGGCCGTATTAAACCTGAGCTCGAAATTCTGAGATTTCAATTTTAATCTTTAAAGTAACACCCTGTGTTAGCTTCTGGTGCTTTTATTTTCAGC